AAAAAATTTTTTGTAGCCCCAAGTAGTGAATTGAAGTAAACTGGAGAACATAGGAGCTGATGATAAAGAATTCTGACTCTTAAGTGTCCAGTGGGGTATCTGTGACTCCAACAGGAGACCACCACAACATGCACTGTCTTATATATGCTTACCTAAACACCCAAGGCACCTTCCCACTGATCCAGTGTGCTGGTGGCTTACAAAAATCCTTCTGTCTGGACCATTTGTATTTGCTCTGCACTTAACTTCCCAATGCCACTCCTGTCTCCTCATGGCTCCTTCCCCTTTCTGCATTTTTCTAGGTTAAGAGAACTTAACATTTCTACTCTGGCAAGTTCCTCCCTGCAGACATTCCCATGAAAACTAAACTGATGTGTTTTCTGGATGAGTGGAGGTATGTTACCATTTTCACGCCATCTTTTTCTCAGTCCTGATCTCTTTTATGAGCTGACATGTGAGCTAGTGTTTATTTCTGCAGATACAGTCAATTATATTTCTGAGTGCAGGCTGTGTGTCAAAAGGCAAATAAATGGAACAAAGAAAACGCCCTTGACTTGGAGCTCACAGTTGTGAGGCAGGAAATCCTTTCAGAGGGCACAGAGTTGCTCTGAGCTTTTCCGCAATCCTTCAATACTTCCATTTCCCCACCCTTAGGGAAAGATTATCCTGATGTTGTTTTAATCTAGCAGATGCTGAGCAGTTAGAAAAAGGAAACAAACAGCTGGGGGAAATATTACCACCTGTTTATGCTGACTTTTACCAAACAAGGCTGGCCACCAGCTGTTGAGGGGTTGGAGAGAAGCTACGGTGGGGACAGGAAATGCTGACTCAGACCGAAGCCAGTTTTCGGCTTTTCGGCTGTTTGGGGAAAAAAAAAAACTGCCACAGAAGTACATGGTCATTCTCAGATGTCCAGGGAAAAGGCAAGGAAAAGACATGTCCTGCTTACTAACACAGGCCTGGCCTGATGGCACACGTGGAGGCACACAGGAGTCATGCTGCCTACTCTATTCATTTTCTCCTTCCTTATTGACTACAACCTATTATTGGGAGCAGTCATGTCCAAGGAAAGATGACATTTCTCGGCCTCCATTATAGCTAGCTGTGCTCATGTGACTGGGTTCTGGAAGTGTTGAGTGCGATTTCCAGGAAAACCCTTTAAAGTGTGCTGACTCTGCAGGGTTTGCCCATTCTGTCTTGCCCTCTTTTCTTCTTCACAATGTCAGGAATTTCACATGATGACTGATGGTCAAGTGGCTATTTTGCACCATGAGGTGACTTTGAGAATGGAGCCATGTTGTGGTGCAGACAAGAGCTTTTAATGGCCTTGGACCGCCAAACTCTGCAATACTTTTCTGAGAGACACACTTCTTGTTTAAACTTCTGCTGATTTGTCATCAGCCCAACTGTCGTCAGCCCTATCCCAACTTACCTCAATAGTTATTGGCATTCGTGTAACAGTCTTCCTGTCCTGCAGAATATAGTCCCTTCTGTTACCCAATTCTATCTTCCTGACAACAGAGTAAAGCTGCTGAGGCATATGTTATGTCGGAGGAGGAAACTGGAGTTGGAACAAAGTCAGTCTTGTCCAATGCCACATACCTGGCCACTTGGAGAGCAGCTGGCTTTGGAAGCCAGGTCACCTCGCCCCAAGATTTAAAAGCATGGTGGAAATAGGCAGTAGGCTTCCTTTAATACTGACTTTGACAGGTAAGTCGTGGTTTTTTTTTAAGAGCAAGCATTTAAGGACCACTTACCTCTCCTATCAAAGGGAAGACTGAGGATGGTTTTCAGTCCTCTTTATTAAGGGGACTGAGGCCACTGACTTTGAAAACATCAGACTGTTTCCAAGCTGCCTCAGAATACTACTGCCACCTTCCAGTGAATCATACAGCTCACTGTGTTGTTATCCATTCAAAGAGCTGACTTCTCAAACAGGCTAAGACACAATTTGAATAAGCAATTAATAAAATGAATGTGTTACTGTTTTAAAAGCATAACAGGCTTGATGATTAATGTAGAGTTGACAAAGTCTTTAAAATGAAAAGGCAGAGGTGGCACTTTTTTTCATTACAATGCAGGTAAAATTGAATAGGGTGGATCCAACATAGAAAAGTTTTAATAAGGCAAATGTCAAGCAAGCATACTGACTTCTTCAAAAAACAAAGATAATCTAAGAGTTTAATTACAAAAACACTTGTACAGAAAACTTGGCATTTTAACAGTTCCAAACACATGTACACAATTTTTTTTCTACAATTTTGTCAGAAATAAAACACTTTGTTTCATTTTCCTCAGCTGCTCCTTGTGTTTTAATAAAAGGAAATAAATCTGTAACACTGACTAGGCAACAACTTATTAGAGAACATATACACTCAGTAATATCTACAGGTTTACTGGAGAACATGGATTAGGTATCACGTGAGCCTCTTACTGCCTCCTGCTTGGGCACAGAGGGCAGGAGGCAACACACACCTGCTTTACGGCCCGACCTGACTGTGCTGTGGCCACCGAGTCCCAGCCACCAGTAAGCCAGGTGTGTGGCTGCAGGGAGAGCCAGGGTTTCAAAGGCAGGCTGCTTATTTTGTGAAAATGACTGCAGACTGGAGGCCCCCTCAAGATCTGGTGCGTTTCTGAACATACAAATGTTTCAAGTTAGTGTCAGGGATGGCTAGGAGCATGACGATGTTTGCACTAAGTTACAGCCTTTCCTGGTTAACGGCACTCTAATGAAGCTGCTCCAAAGTCACACAGGAGGAACAGAAAGAGGTATGAGGAGGAAGAAAGGAAGGATAGGAGTATCTGGCAGAAGGCAGACACAAACTTCCAGAACTGGCTGGATGTCTTTCTGCTATAGACTCTGTGTTCCAGCTTGGACTAAGCAGGCAAGGAATCTGAGGGAAGTGACAGGACCAGAAGGTGAGAACAGGAAAATATAGAAAAAAGCAGGTGGGTTGGCTAGGTTTATAGCAATAGATAATGATGGGCTCTTATTCTAAAAAATTGCCAAGTGGTGACATGCGGGCTTCAGTCCATGGAACTCTGATGTGTGTTCATTGAAGACATTTCAAAAAAGCCTGTTTTGTTCTTTTATTTCCTTTGGGCTGCTGGAGAAATCAGGTGGGGGTTGCTGAGAGGAGAGGATGAGCCTGCACCCCGGTGGGGGACATGCTATGTGGAGGCCACACATCCGCCTGCCTCAGGGGTGTGGTGCCCGGACGGTGCCCAGCGCAAATGTCAGCCTTGGGGTGCAGAGCATCAAAACCAAACCGAAGATGAGGGGAATCAGAAACCCCTCTTCCCTCCTGGTGTTTAAAAAAAAATTCATTTACTAAGGGTGGAGAAGGAAGGACAGCTTGTCCTTTTGAGATGGATTCTACAGTTATGGCTACAGAAAGAGGCAAAGGACCTAAGAATTCCTTCGTGTTCTCTCTCAGCTCGAGACTAATGTGACAGCCATGAACCAGCACACCTAGAGCAGACAGGGATTCCCTCAGTTTTCACTCAGGATAAACTCTTTTGTTTTTTTCCCCAATGTCAAATGAGAAACTATTTTTCCTATTCTCTCTTATTTACCTAAGGCCTTTTCCTCAGCAAAAATGCTCCACAAGACACTGTCACCAGAAGGGAACAGTAGAGCCTTGCTGGGCTGGGAAGCTGGGTACATGCAGGGGTGAAGCTCAGGAAACAGCAGGCAGGGCCCGGGAGGAAGGACGGCGCACGCCCTTCAGGGCCACGGTCACACAGCCTCCATGGGGCTGGCACCCCGAGGCGAGCAGGGCTGGGCCGAGCCATGGGGGCAGGAAATGGGCTGGCTCACAGGACACTGCCAACAAGAAGCGCCCTTCTTTGGAGTCACAGCAGGACAAGAGACTGGGCATGCACAGTAAGAGAAACTCTCCTTCAGGACCCTGCCGAGCAAAAAAGCCCAGGGCTCAGAACATGGAAATGTGTCTCTTTGTGGGGGTGAAGGGAATAACAAGATAACCCCTAAAGGCATTAAAAAGTGACAGGTAAATAGAAAACCAGAGTGCCACTGATAAAAGGGTCCATCTAGTCTGAAGCAGTACAATGAGAAGGCTTTCTGCTGAAGATGTCAGTCTCAGGGCCACCTAGTCAGCAGAATATATGCAGAGCCACTCAACAGAAAGGCAGATGACAGGAAACTGAAGACTTGGGAGAGTGGCGACATACTTTCAAAGCTTCACAAGGATGATTCCACAGGAAGTTCATATACACGGTCCTTCTGCTGCTCCCTCATATGGCTTCCCGGGGCGAAGGCATTTAAGTCACAACTGATAGTTCTTTCACAAGCAGAGTCATCTGTGCTCTCTCTCTGCCTCCACTCAGTTCAAATTTACACAGATGGCTTCTCATTCCTCACTAGTAAAACCACTTACAGAAACCTTGGCGCTCTAAGACCTGTAGGGGAGAAAGAGAGAGAGGAAGAGAGGGTGGGAGGGGGAAAGAGAAGACAAAACAAAACGTGGCTCTTCCCAGCATCCTTTCCAGCCTGGGAAGTCCCCCTCTGAGACAGGAATAGAGAGAGAGAGAGAGAGAGAGAGAGAGAGAGACAGAGAGAGAGAACGAACGTGGGAGAGAGAGAGAAAATACCAAAAAGGTAAGCAGCTCAGAAAGACTTAAGGGCTATGGGTTAAAAAATGCTGTGTTCTATTTGCAGGAGGGTTAAGGTGAGGAGCTGAGTGAGTATAAACAAAAGAGCTCACAAAACTCCAAGGAGGCATGACCACCGCCACCATCCCGGTTCCAGTCCTGAGAGGCTTCAGCTAAGCCTGCAGGCCAAACAGGGCCTGTGTTCCAGCTCAACACAATATGCATGTGGGAAAACAGTTTGAGTGAACACAGAAAGGCAACTATCGTGATGATGGAAATTATTGGGTTTGTCGGAAAAGTCATGATGCATGTTTGTGACAGATGGCACTAGTTCATTTTTGGAAGTACTAGAGTCATTCGCATCTATGTTATTGCTATGTCATTTGACAGCTGACAGTTCTAGCTTCATTCTAAAAAAAAAATTGAGTGATTTGGTTGAGTTTTGGAGATTTTACAACAAGTTGAAGATGGAAGACCAAACTATGCATTTTTGCCATATTTTACTGTTTTACTTCCATAAAGGGAAGAATCCGTGTCAAGCTTGTGACAAGTTGCATAAAGTTTACGGTGATAATGCTCTACAAGAACATCAGTGCCAATGACGGTTCACGAAATTCCGTGCTGGTGATTTTGATGTCAACAACACTCCTGGGTCATGGAGGCCCACCGAAGTTGATGACGACAAAATAAAGGCATTGATCGAGTCAAACCCATATTACACAACACGAGAGATTGCAGAAACATTGAACATCCATCATTCAAGCGTTCATGACCACCTGAAGAAGCTGGGATACGTAAGCAAGCTCGATATTTGGGTTCTGCATAAACTGAAAAAAGTTCATTTGATGGCACATATAAACATCTGCAATATGCTCATTAAACATGAGGAAAACGATCCTTTTTTGAAGCGACTGGTAACTGGTGATGAGAAGTGGATTGTTTACAACAATGTGGTGCGCAAACAGTCTTGGTTCCAACATGATGATTCACCTCAAATGACATCAAAAGCAAAGATTCATCAGAGGAAAGTTATGCTCTCAGTGTGGTGGGATTTTAAAGGTGTCATGTTTTTCAAGCTCCTACCAAGGAACCAAACAATCAATTCGAATGTGTACTGTTGGCAATTGGACTGTTTGAACGAATCCATGATCCAGAAACATCGAGAGCTTTTTATAAATTATAAAGGAGTTGTGTTCCATCACGACAACGCGAGACCACACGTAAGTCTGATCACCTGTAAAAAATTATTGGAGCTTGGATGGGATGTGTTGCCACACCCACCATACTCGCCTGACCTTGTGCTGTCAGACTTCCACTTATTTCGCTCTCTTCAAAACTCCTTGCGTGGTATAGCGTTCAATTCAGATAAGCTATAAATTAGCACCTTGTTCAGTTTTTTGCAAACAAAGATAGGTCCTTCTATGAACAAGGAATTATGAAGCTAACTGAAAGATGGCAGAAGGTTATGGAACAAAATGGGCAATATATCATTGATTGATCTTTGTTCTTTATATAAATAAATGACCTTTGAAAAACATAGACAAAATATGTCATGACTTCTCCGACAACCCAGTAGTACTCCGTGTTAGTCCAAAGAATAAATGGTCAGTCAAAACCAATTTTCCTCAAGTATAAATTGAAGGACCTCTGCATGTGTAGGAATATATTGTGTGCGTATGATTAATACATTTTCTTACACTGATAAAAATGCAATTACATAAGAAAGATTTTTTTCAACCCTCAAACAGCCAAATATTTACCATTTGGTGTGACTGAAATCAAGCAACTTATGGATTTTGATGGTTTCTATAAAGTGGTCCACCTCTCAACATGAAATCACCCCTAAGGCTTCCTCCTGACTCCACTTTTTTCTAGGTACAAGTTAGCCACAAAGAAAGAGGACAGCTGGGGTAATTCTTCCATTGTATATCTATAAAAACAATTTTTAAATGGGCTGACCAAAATCTTTTACCTTATAATTACTGGATTGTAATTTTTTATTTACCTCCTATTTATCTTACTGCTCTCTTTCCAAAATGTTTTAGTGCTTTCCTCTTACACTGTCCTCCCTACAGTAATGTTTTAGAAACTCCATTGAACCCGAGTGTTGATACACGTGTGCTAGACCTGGACTCAGCACTCATCTACACAGGTATTTTCAGGCAAGACCTTTCACTTGGAACTCAGTTTCTTCCTATGTAAAATGTTGGGGTTTCTAATATGTTAGCTTTAATACATTCCTCTAAAACTAGAGACCATTAGCTTCCCTTCACTCACTGGCTCCTGACAATAGATGAAACCTTTGCCAAGCTCATGTCAGAATAATTAATTGCACCATGAATGCTAGGGACATCGGACCTAGTTGTCTGTACATATTTGTATAATGAAGCCAATCTAGTATTAATCGCAGTCTTTATAATTGTTATGGTTGACAGTTTTGGTGATCTGGGAAACTATTCAGACTTAGTTATGTTTGCACGGCTAGACTGTAAAAATCTAGTAGTAATAAAATGATTCACATTTCCAGGTATTATTTTTTCAAGGGAAAATATTTATAGTTCAAAATCAAGGATAATGGTAGCATTCTAGGATTTTAAAGACACTTCAGAAAACAGTACTACAGTTTAAATCCTTAAGATGGGTAAAGTTTTAGGATCATCTTATTAGCAAAATGCTCAAAACAGAAAACCACTTTTGGCTCAAAACTTGCAATAACTGCCCTATACCTACGAGAGGAGACACCATGTTATCAATTACTGGGTTCTTTCACAATCTTCCACACTGTTTCTCCCAGCTCTCTCTTTTCAAACATACAAGAGTGCTAATTGAAAACACTGTGTGAGAATGAGAAGGATGATGAGCTCCTGAAAATCTCGGGCCTGGATTTATAAGCTGTTCCCTTTGTGAACAGCAGCAGTGATGCCAGTTATGTATTCTGCAGGGAGTCCAGCCACCGCTTAGAAGTACAATCCCTTCCATCTGGCTACTCGCTAAGAGGGCACAATCCTTTCTCATCAGAGCAGGGCCGAGGCTAAAGTAGAATGAATTGCCTTGTAAGTTACCATCCAAGGGCATGACTAAGGAGAAAGACTACTGCTTTTGTCTCTGCTAGCAGATGTTGCCTCATTAGATAAAGAATCATAGATTTTATTTATTCTTTATTGTTATACATGTTGCTCAAGGTCCAAACCACGCTAGAATGAATATGTATGAGTGTGTTCTTATAGCTGCAGGACAAAAAAAAAAAAAAGAAAGAAAAAATTCAAACCCTTGACTGGCCCTTCTAAGGAGCACTTCCTGCTGTCCACTCTTATCTCAGCATTGATGTCTGGTCACCATGCCATCTGGTCCAACCCAAGACTTCCACACAGTTCATACGGCTGCAGGCACGCAACAGTTTACTCACTAGACCAAAGGCTGCCAATTTCGTGGGAGGGCATACTAAAGGGCACCGTATCTCTAGAATCTCTAGGAATCTGTGTGAACAAATACCACTTCCATTTAAGAAATGATACCTGACGTCTGACCATTAGTACCAAAATGTTTACATGAGCAGATTCCTTCTGGAAATGTACTTTTTGTCCCCTCTAAAAGGACATAACACATACTACTAGTGATTTGTTGAATATGTTTTTTAAAAGCTTCTTTTCTCTCTCTTCTCGTTTTTGTTTATTGAGTTTATTATTTAATCCGTTTAATCAGGGCACTCACTGTTTCACTGTAAGGTTGGTCCACTGTAACATTTCACATACAGCAGTTACTCTGATATTGAGTGGTGAATGAAAAGCTTCTTACTTATGTAGGCTTATGTACATACAGTGGCTCACTGACTAGTGCTGTAAATTGTCATTAATATTTTCCAGGGAAAAGGAAGCTTAACAATTAAGTGATTTTTATTTTGTTCTTATATTTAAGTGCTATTTGGGGGGTAATTTCCTCAAAGTTTCTCACTCCCTCTTCAAAACCTTTTGGGAAATTAGCACTCGAGAATACAGCTAATGAGTGACAAAGCTAGTACCAAGGTCCAACCACAGAAATCATGCTCTTTCCATTAAACCATGCTGAGGCATACATGAGAAAAAACAGTCTTGATTCTGTTTTCTAACATTTACTACATTTAGCAGCTATGCAATAGGAATCTTCATTAAGTCTCCCACTCACTTTTTCAGTGTAATTCCAGGATTTTGGTAGTACTGATAAAGTCCATGCTGGCATGTAAATATCATGTCTGTGAACACTCACCAGTCCCTAACGATCGAGCCTGCTCACAACTTCTCGAACTGTAGCTATGAAGTTTTCGTTGTCTTGGGGATTCGCTAAAATAATACTGTGCAGTCTGTTCATATATGAGTCAATGGTGTCCACTGTGGGTGTCTCTCCACTTCCTGAAGTGAGAGAAGACAGTTAGAAAACCCTCTGCATTCAGGTTAACCTTAACACAAAATGAATCCACAGCAAAAGAAATTGCGTCTCTAATGTGGTCTGCTCCACAGATAAGATTTTAATTTCCAAGGAGAGACTTTTAGACCTCAAAGAAATGAAATTAATCCACATACTCTAAATAATAAACAGCTGGGTATACAATTCCTGTACAGTACATATGAGTAGCCGCAGAAAACAAAAGGTTGGACATTCTCCCCGCTTTCTTCTGTGACTATCCTCAACATGAAAGAATATATAAGAAATACTAGTGTTTGCTTTCTTCTTCCTTCCCATTAAAACAAAATTACAAACCAAGCAAACATACTTAGGAAAAGTGCACTACTCAGAATTTATTACCCAGTTTAGATTGTTATGAACATCAAATTGGCTTAATAGAAAGTAAATTATATTAAAATATAACTGGAGAAAAATTAAATGACCAGAGATCCTGAAATTTCGGGTGACTGTAGCCAATACTGAGATCCTATTACATGACCCGCAGAAAACTCTGAACGGAAAAAGCCCTTATTTGATTGATTTTCCCTTGGCAGGAGCCTGCTGCCTTACCCCACAATACCGACATGAGCAGCATGTCCCGCTTTCTGGGCGCTCAGGTAAGGATGGCATTACCGGGCAAGGGCATGCTGGCGAAGCTGCTGGTCAGCACCTGCCGCAGGGTCTCCAGGTGCTGCTGTAAGACGGCGTTGCGGCTGCGCTCCTGGATCACGTCCACCTCCAGCTTCTCCACTGCTGTGCGCATGCTCTCCACATGCTTTTGCAAGGCCGCATTCCGCTCCTCAAACTCCATGTTGGATTTGCGAAGCTGGCGGAGCTCTGCCTCGCGAGCTGAGAACACCCCGCCCCCAGACATACACGGAATGCACGTTGCCCTCGGAGTCTCCGAGGAGTCACAAGGACTATTACAAGGAAGTCCTGCTTAGCTGTCTCTAATTAGATAGCCCATCTCACCTCCCTATTCTCATTATGACCTCCCAGATAGCAATTTCAGCAATAAAACGCCTGGCTCCCTGGAGCTATTTTAATTCTTAAACCTGGTCATATTCTATACTTAAAATTCCAAGGAACAGTTGCAATTCCCAGTATTTTTGTTTGTTTTGTTTTTTAAAACTATGCAATGAGAAGCCTGAGGGGTTTCACAGGAAACTCCTGGGAGACTGGGAAAGTACAGCTTTGGGTCGCCATCTTTACTGCAAGGGGGTAAAATTTAGCTCTTACTTATTTTACATTGTGGATGCCCACAAGTTTGTATTTGTAAAAAGGGTTCCAGACTCACGGGATGAAAGCAACTGAATTGGTGATGTATTGGGCTGTTGGAAAAGTCATGAAGTATTTTTTTCTCTGTCATGGCAAAAATGCGTCATGACTTTTCCGACAACCCAATACATTTATTTCCTTTGATCCAGAAACTAAAGCAGCTTTGACAACACTGGCCTAGCTTTTCTTCACTGGTCTTTGAATAGCTATCTTGAGTAGCGAGTGAAAAAGAGGCAGTTTTCTTCTTCCAGACCACTCACTACCATTGATTTTGAGCAACGAATTCCTCCTGAGAACAAAATGCCCTGTCAAGACCTGGGAAACACAGAATGATACTTTGGTAATCACCTTTGCTGTGGTTCAGGAATTCCTCTGTAAATATAGGGATGTCAAAAACAGCCCGTTCCTTTACCTCTGTTTCTTTCTGTGAATCAAGAGTAACAAAAACAGGGTCAAGATGGGAGAGGAGGTAAACACTGTGCTCGTCTCCTCCCACCAGCACATCAAAATTACAACTAAATTATAGAACTACCACCCTGGAAAACCACCTGAAGTCTAGCTGAACAGAACCCCTATAACTAAGGATATAAAGAAGAAGCACATCAAGACTGGTAGGAGGGGTGGAGACATGAAATGTGCTGGTCCCATACCATGTATGGTGGTTAAGAATGGAGAGAGATATCTTGGCTGCCAAGATCCCCGGTGAGGAGTGAGGGATCTCAACACCACGTTGGACTCTCAAACCCAGACCACCAGTCTCAGGAAGAGGAGTCCCCACAATAGCTGGCTATGAAAATCAGCAGGAATTCTGTCCCAGTGATACGGAGGGCAGCTGGAGTTCCAGGGACTCCTCTTAAAGGGCCCAAACACAGAATTACTCACTGCCAGACTCACTTGCTCTGAGCTCCAGGACTGGGGCAGCAGCTCAAATAGCACCAGGGACATAAAGGAGGAACTGAGTTGTCTGGCTTTAGGGTGAGGATTGGCGGGATAGATCTTTCTAAGACTAAAGTGATGACAAGTGCCACTGTTCCTTTGTTGAGCTCTCCCCCACCCAGCCCACAGGTGTAACAGACACCAAAATCTGAGTCTTCATCAAACTCACCCCATCCTGTGATTCCCTAAGAACCTGTCCGACCCAACTTGAGCACAGACTGTAACCCCTTTCAGCAGCTGTTACTCCCAAGAGGCTGGCCTTGGCACTCTGGACTTCCCTAAAATCTTTAAAAGGTCCACAAAGCCCAAACCATCTGTGACTGGCCTTGGTGTGCCCTGTACCTCTTGCTAAGCTGCCCCCGATAATAGTGACTGTCAGCCTCAGCTTGCAGCATAGCCTCTCCCAGGTGCCTCCAAGTCTAGCATAGGCAGCTACCAACTGCAGATCACTTTGTAGCTCCTACCATGTGGCCCAAGGCCAGACACACATAGTGGCTGACCTGAGACTGCATCAGAACTCTTCCCAAGAGGCCCCCAAACCAACACATCTGGTACTCAACCTCAGACCACACCAGAGCACCACCCAATTAGCTCAACAAACGACACACCCAAAGAGTGGACTTGGCAGGCACTAGATCCCCGATACAATCAATCCCACTCAGAAGAGTCAACCCCCACACAACAGCTCATCTGCTGTCGTGACGACCAGTCCTCACAGCCAGTCAGCCTGAGGGTCAGTCGTACCCACTAACATGCCAAAAGCAATCAACTACAATAGGAGGGCACACACAACCCACACAAGGGACACCCCTGGAGCACCTAGATCAGGTGAATGGGGTGGGGAGTAGAGGAAGGAGGAGGAGGAGGAAAAGAAGAAAAAAAATTTAAAAATGTGAATAGTAAAATGGCACTAACTACCTATCAAAACTTTTAATTTAAATGTAAACGTATTAAATGCTCCAATCAAAAGAGACAGGGGTGGCTGAATGGATAAGAAAACAAGATTCGGGCCGGCTGAGTGGCTCGTTGCTTAAGAGTTGGCTTGGGAGTGCGAGCTCTGAGCAGCAGGGCTGCCGGTTTGGACCCCAAACAGGCCGGTGACGCTGTGCTCTCTACAGCTAAGATGGTGAACAACAGCTCGACCTGGAGCTGGGCTGCTGTGAGTCACTGGTGATAGCATAGGCTGTGGTGGGGCTGCAGTGGGCTGCCATAAGCTACTGTGAGTAGCCGGCAGCCAGTATGAGTGGCTGGCAGTCAGCGTTAGCTGCTGTCCAATGGCTGGCGACTGATCTGCCTCAGCGGGGAAGAGTACAATGATCACAATACCAACATGGGCCAGTGAAGCGACGTCCTCCACAACTAGAGTGAAGAACTGAAGGATAACAACCTGTCTGTGCCCCTTCCCTGTTCCCCAATAAGAAAGATCTTAAAAAAAAAAAAGGTATGCAAGCAAGTGCCCATCAACAGATGATTCGATAAAGAAGATGTGGTACACATATACAATGAAGAATGAAATCTTACCATTGACAACATGGATGGGCCTAGAGGGTATTATGCTCAATGAAGTAAATAAGAAGGTGAAAGACAAATACCATATGACTGCATTTATATGTGGAATCTAAAGAAGAAAATAAATGAATAAACAAAACAAACTCATAGATACTGAGAACAACCTGATAGTTGACAAATGGAAGGGGGGCTGGGGGCTGGGTGAAAAAGGTGAAGGGATTAAGAAGCATAAATTGGCAGTTACAACATAGTCATGGAGATGTGAAGTACAGCACAGGGAATATAGTCAATAATGTAATAACTATGTATGGTGCCAGGTGAGTACTAGACTAGTCAGGGTGATCATTTCGTAAGGTATATAAATGTCTAACCACTATGCTGTACACCTGCAGCAAATATAATATTGAATGTCAACTGTAGCTAGAAAAAAAATGAGTAAAAAACCAGTTAATTCTTAAACAGAAGCTAAGTTAAAGAGGCAGTGCCTGAAGGCACGGTGTTTGGCGTTGGTGTCTTTTTAAAGAAACAGCAGGCTGAGCAGGGATGGGTCCAGGCGAGGCTGGACTCGAACTTTCACAGAGCTCAAGCAAGTTAAGTATTCAGTTCTCTCAGTTGTACAACTGCTGTGCAATGAGAAACCTTACAACAAACGTACGTAAATTTCCCTAATGGAGGCTCTGGAAGCCATTTCTCAGCTCTGTGCTTTGAACAGTTAACAGCATACAGTTGTGGAAGTGACTGAGGTAGGGATAGAGAAAGAGAATTTCTAGGTATTTTTTCAGTTGCTTCTGTTGGTTGTGAATGTAAAATGATCTCTGAGGTAGGAGTATGCAGTCTAAATTTGCAGAGTAGACAATAAGAATTTTAAGCACAGATCTGCCAGCCATGAGCAATAATAATGGTATTTCATTGGTACTTCTAATTTATAAGGGACAGGCTATAACTGGGGATCTTTTAGACTTTCTTCAGATATAGGAAAAACAAAGAAAATCAAGATGTCAGAAATAACTAGGCTCTAAAAATGAAAAGAGCCAAGGATTATGTGAGACAGAAAAGAATAGCGAAGCCTAAAATTAATTCGCCAATAATTTTTAAAAATAAAATTTAAAAAATTTAAAATAAGTCTTACAAAACTACTGGAAAACATATTCCACAATGATCCTTAACAATAAAGTCAATTTTATGATGCTTTGGCTGTCATTTCTACAATGAATTTGAAAGCATTATTAATATAAATTATAAGTGTCTTGGCACAGTGTTTAAAATCTTACATAATATAACATGATAAAGTAAAGAGAACAGTGGGAAATGCATACTGAAGACATTGCTAGTGAAATCTGAAGATTCCCAAACCTTTATAACATAAATAACAGTTAAAAAAAAATCTAGCCATCGTTCTTATAAAAATATGTTTAAAACCAGAGACAGAATGTGTCTTTCCTGCTCTGCCACCACCAGTCTTTATCTTTGAACACAAATGTGTTCTGGTGCCCAGTAGAAAAGCTAAGCTGTTAACAGCCAAACGCCTGTGTTCCTATTGGTGTCTGCCATATAAGGGGCTGGGTTGTGGGAACTGCTTGTACGGGCAGCTGATCAAGAAAGGCAATCTAAGATGGAAGTCTGAAAAACTGTGTTTATCTGGGGAAACTTTCAGAGTACTGAATTTTTACCCTTGTACCTCTTAAAGAAAGCAAGCAACGTTTCCCAGAATAATTTAAAAATAAACAATGGAAGTGTCATTGAAAGCCCCGGTTTCAACATGCAAAGCTCTACCTCGAGCCAGTTGCTAATGGATTTCAAAGAGAAATAATGTGTGGGCGAGAAAGGCTGGTTCCAAAAGGGCTCTTAGACACATTCCCAGTGGCTTTCTCTTGACTTTGCTGGTTTACCATATGCTTTAACTCTGTTACTGGGTTGCTGGAGGTGAACAGAAAATTTATGACATACAATTCCAACCTGTACAGGTATAACAGATATAAGCATAAGCCCCCAAATGACTTAGGATAAAGTCTTATGACTTTATCATTTGACCTTGTTCAGTTTCCGACTTAAGTGCATGGGCT